GACTCAATATAAAATAAAAGGGCTGGGGATGTAGTTCAATGGTAGAGAAGCCCAGGTTTCAATTCCCAGTACTACCAAAAACAAAGAAAGAAAGAAAATCAAAAGAAACTAAAACCCCAACATAAAATTAACTATATTGAAGAACAAATTACCAGAACAATCTACAAAAATAAACCCACATTTCATTATATACAAGAACCTTGAAATAATTATTGTAAATATAAAAAAATTGCAAAGATTTGGAGAATAATGACTAAAATGATTAAACAGAAAACATAATAAGAGGCCCAAATGAATTTTCAGAAGTGAATGATTCACTATTGAGAATTCAGACATCATAACAAATGTGATTACCAGAAGAGTAGGCAACAAGAAAGGAAAGATTAGTGGGCTCCAAGTTCTAGCAATAGAAAATTCTTAAAAAATAAAGCACCAAGTAAAAGACTAAACAAGAAATGGTCCAGCACTTCAGAGGGTTGTGGGGCAATATTTTTAATAAATTTATTTATTTATTTTAATTAGGTCTATATGACAGCAGAATGCATTTTGATTAATTGTACACAATGGCAGCACAACTTTACATTTCTTTGATTGTATCCTATGTATCGTCACACCATATGTACAGGCATACGTGTACCTAGGGTAATGATGTCCATCTCATTCCACCATCTTTCCTGCCCCCATATCCCCTCCCCTCTCCTCCTTCCCCTTTGCCCAATCAAAGTTTCTCCATTTTTCCCATGCCTCCCCTCCATTATGGGTCAGCATCCACTTATCAAAGAGAACATTTGGCCTTTGATTCTGGATTCTTGATTTGGGGGGGATTGGCTTACTTTGCTTAGCATGATATTCTCCAACTCCATCCGTTTACCTGCAAAGGCTATGATTTTATTCTCTTTTAATGCTGCATAATATTCCATTGTGTATATATACCACAGTTTCTTTATCTATTTATCTGTTAAAGGGTATCTAGGTTGGTTCCACAGTCTAGCTATTATGAATTGAGCTGCTATAAACATTGATGTGGCCACATTAATGTAGTATGCTGATTTTAAGTATGTGCAAGCATACATGTACCTATACCTTTGGGTATAGACAGAGGAGTGGGATAGCTGGGTCAAATGGTAGTTCTATTCCAAGTTTTCTAAGGAATCTCCATATTGCTTTCCAGATTTATAGCACCAAATTGTAGACCTACCATCAATGTATGAGTGTGCCTTTCCCCCCACATCCTCACCAACACTTATTGTTGTTTATAGTCATTATAACTGCCATTCTGACCAGCATGAGATGAAATCTTAGAGGAGTTTTAATTTGCATATCTCTAATTACTAGAGATGTTGAACATGTTTTCATATATTAGTTGATCGATTGGTGGGGCAATATTATTCTGCCTAAGAAGTAGATCATTATAGACCCCAAAAAGAAGAGAAATGGGCAGAAATAAATACAGAAAATAATAGTAAAATATTGTCAGGTCTTATGAAAAATGAAAACCACAGATCCAAGGATTTCAACAAACTCAAGCAAAAGAAACATACATGCATATGAATGTTAATCTAACTGCTGAAAACCAGTGATTAAAAAGGGAAGTGTCTGGGATGGGGCTGTAGCTCAGCAGCAGAGCGCTTGCCTAGCATCCGTCAGGCACTGGGTTCGATACTCGGCACCACATAAAAATAAGCAAATAAAAAGGCATTCTGTCCATCTACAACTACATTTTTTTTTAAAGGGAAGTGTCCTTAAAATAGCGAGAGGTGGCGGGGAGACAAAGATAAGAATCTCAGAAGCATTCTCATCCCAAGCTAACTGAGCTTACAGATAATGGAGTGTAATCTTTAAGGACTGGATATATACATAGATAGTTTTTAATGTAGAGTATTTTTAGATGGTTAAAACGAAATTGATGTAACCTCATTCTCAAAGTTGAAAGTCCTCACCATTAGCAGATTTGCACTACTAGAAATATTAAACCATTCTTTCAGAGACAAGAAAAAGGATATTACATGAAATGTCTAATTGGCACAATAATTAGTATCAAAAATGTTGATTTTGCTAGAATTTACCTTCTCATCTATATCCTTTACCTCTGTTCTTTAACTGTTAGTGAAAGCAGAGTTTATTGAATACAAAATTCATTATAGATTCATGCAATGCAAATCAAGTATGTAGTACTATTCAAGATTGATTCCTTGTTTTCATTATAATTTGATTTCTGAGTATAGTTCCTAGAGTACAGTTTCTGGGGATTAAGGAAACTATTTTTTCCATTTTCCATTACCTTCAAATCATTTCAACTACCACCAGGACAGATTTGAAGATGGGACAGATAGGTTAATGTTCGACAACTACTTTTCATTCTGTGGTATATCCATAAATTTAAAGGGACAAACTTCAGACACATGAAATTATGTGGATTATCCTCTAATGCCCAATGCCAAGTAAAACAAGTCAGGAGTAAAAGTGTTCCATACTGTGTGCTGTAGGATTCACTTATGTGAAATTTTAGGACAAAACAAACAAGAGTGAAAGAAAGCTATTGTAATCTGCACAATGTGGTGTTAACACAGTAAATGAACGGAACAGAACAGAGAGGACATAAATCAGCTCACACACATATGGCTAATTGATTGCCAGTGAAGGTGTCAGGAACATTCATTGAGGAATAGATAATCTGTCCACCAGGGCTGCTTCAAAACTCACATATCTACATAGAACAAAATGGACCTAGACCCTTACATCATGTGCAAAAGTTAATGAGAAATAAAGAGTGACTCTAAACATATTTTAGTTTTAAATTACTGTGTTAGGTAAAACTTTTTACATATGACATAAAAGAAATTAACTACCAAATTAAAATAGTGATAATTTAAGAGTTCATCAAAATTTAAAAATAAAACAAAAAACTTTTCCCTTTGAAATATATTTTTTAACAAAATGAAAGAGAAAGGGTCATTGTTAGAAAATATTCACCAAACATTTCTGGTAAAGGGCTCATATACAGAATATCAAAAGATCTCTTTTCATGGAGTATGTAGCTAACAACTTAAGAAACTAACAAACTGTTTTCTGAAGTAGTGGTCATATTTTACATTCCTAAATGTGGTATCTGGGAGGCCCAAGGGTACTTCTTCCTTCACAATGTATCATATGGTCAGTTTTTGTAATCTTTGTCATGGAAATGAGTATGTGGTTACTTTAATTAGGATTTAATCTGTGTCCATCTATAGACAAAAATGCTGAGGCTTTTTTCCTGGGTTTATTTGACATTCATATATATACATAACCTTATAATATATATTACTGTATATATATATATATACCTTTATCTTTGGTCCAGTAATTTATCATGGTGCTGGTGTTCTTGCTATAGGAAAGAGCTGTCAGACTAATGATTGGGTTGACCCAGCCACAGTTACGGATTCGGATGCTGACATTTAGCAAGGCTAGATGGCTTAAGTTTTGCAGCTAATGAGTAATAAAGAGACTTGATTTTGAGCTATAAGAACTCAGATCTGTACAATCTGAAAGCCTATGTCCTCATATATTTATGTATTTCTTCCACTCTAGAGTATGTTCCCTGTGATGTCAATTTTATGTAGCCACTTGACTGGGCCAGAGGGTCCCCAGGTGTTTGATAAAAACACCCTTCTGGATCTGTCTGTGAGGGTGTTTTGGGAAGAGACTGAATTGGTCTGCTGAGTTACGCAGGCGGTCCTTCCTGTTGTTGACATCCTGAATAGAACAGAGAGGCTGAGAGAGTGGTGATTCTCTTTCTCTGATTGTTTGGAGCTAGAATGTGGCTCTTGTACCTCTGCACACAGACTTGGACTGACTATACCTCCTGTCTTTCTTGTTTTCAAGCTTTAGAACTTGGAGGAAGGCTTTACCTGCAACAGGTCTCCAAGGTCTCAACTTGCCACCTGCAGACCTCAGCAATTCTTTGTATTCACAATCTGGTAAGCCAGTTTGTAAGGGTTCTGTGTTTGGGATTGGGATCCCTGATGACTTCAGGGCTGAGGCATGCTCGGTGCCTGGGAAAGTTTCTGTGCAGAGGCATAGGATGCCTGGTTGCTATGGCAATAACTTCCATGCTAGAGTCTTATCAGCTTCCACCTTAATCTTAGCTTCCACTTTAATCATAACTCCTGGGAATAAAGGAACTTGCTGGCTGGATAAATACAATGTTTCACCAAGCTCTGGTGCTCCTGGAGCTGCCCACCCAACAGTAACTTCAGACAATGGACCTTCTTGAGAGCTGCACAAATCTCCTAACATTGCATATTGTAACTAGGAAATGTAACTGCAGAAGAGCAACCTTCCTGATACTCTAAACAATAATGTGGTTATGGTACTGATGACCTAATGGAACCTATGGGTATAAATAAACGTGGCCACTTGGACAAAGAGCCACTCTACCACTTTGGCTGCCTCTGCCCCTGTACCTTTTATTATTCTTTATACCAATTCCTTACAATCACTGTCTCTCATATTTATATGAATACGTATGTCTATTCTGATTCAGTTGCCCTGTAGAACTCTGGCTAATGTACTCCCTGAGAATGATTTTCTCCAAAATACCTACATTGAGGCCAGGTATCTCAGTACCGACCTGAATGGACAACTCCTTACTAAGAGACTGTGAAAGATCTCACTGAATTTTCGATCCACAGATCAGGGTGAAAATTCTCATCGAATAAAGATTCCGATGGGTTTCTATTACCATTAACCTTTTAATAAAGGGAAACCACAAGTTGTAAAGAAAGCAAAGAATTACGGAAATTGGGGCAAGGAATTGAAGAAGCATCTAGTTTGGAGAGTTCCCAGCATAACAATGGTGAATTGATTGAGTTAGAATCTTTCAACCCTCTTGAGTTTATTTAATAATTCATATGTCAAGTGCCCTAAAAGCTCTCAGATCTTTGAATGAAAGCAGGCATCTGGTAAGTTAAAGGTTGACACAAATCCTGTCCCGTGTCATTCTGTTTGGATACAGTACTCAAGATATGATCTTCTGCCACTTTTTTTTTAGTGCTCATTTATTCAAAGGGAAATGTGTCTTCTTTGTTCTTTCCTCAATTCCAATACATCTAATAGTAAAAGTGAAAATCATCTAAGAACTATAAATGTTGGCATGCATTTATACTCTCAGAGGGTAATACATATGATTGAATTACTTCCACTTTCATAGAGACAGTTGGCATTCAACTAGCAATTTTATCATGATCAAAGCTATTCAGATATTTTTTTTTCCAATCTGAGTTTAGCGTCATGCACTCTGAGTATAGGGCCTATAAATTTTGCTCAAACCATAGAAGTAGGTGTGTGTGTGTGTGTGTGTGTGTGTGTGTGTGTGTGTGTGTGGTGTGTGTGTGTATGTGTTGTGTGTGTGTTTGTGTTAATAAGTTATTGAAGGGAGGAAAAATAGAGTTACATGTAACTAAAGACCAACAGGAATTTAAGAGGTTTCATAAAATGCTGTATCTACACCTGTGACAAGACTAATAATGTCAGAGAAATGAGAGGCAATAAAATCTTCCTTTAATTTATGATTGGCAAAGCATCTGCTGAGATGAGGTCCATAAACCACAGGGCACGTGGGTGACAACGTGTGTGCCTTATGGTAGTCTGCAGCGGCAATAGGGAGAAAGAAAACATTCCCAAGAACAGGAAATTTCACTTCTCTGTTTAATTGTGCTGAGATTTACTGGCTTTCAACATGGTTTTACACACTGTATAAAAGATGACACAGCTCCTTCCCCCACCATCTAGCCTTAAAGCACACATTTAAATTTTGTTATTCAATGAGCAACTTATTCTAATAAGTTCATGTTTTAAGACCTAATTCTCATTTACCCCTGATTGTTCAAAATATGTGTATATTTTTTCAAAACAGGGCAAAATTTATATTCATACGCACTTTATCATTGTCCTCTGGGAGCCTGATTTTCTACAGAATTAAATTTGAATTCCCAGCATTTTGATGACTCTTTAATAAATGCATTAAGTATGAAGGGAATTCGATTTATTTTATTCAACATTTATGTATGCCCAGGAGTTAATTGCAAGAGAATTCTCTTAGACCTCTTAAAACATAGAGATTTCGGGTAGTAACCTAAGACACAACTTTGGAAATTATTAAAAATTGTAAGCGATGCTTAGGCTGTGATTAAAAGCACCCCCTTAGAAAGCAGAATATATTTGAAACCCCACTAATATCTCTTTAGATGCACCCAAACTGTTACTATTTTTACATTTAAAAAGTGTACATTTAGGGCTGAGGCTGTAGTTCAGTGGTAGAGTGTCTGCCTTGCACATGTGAGGCACTGGGTTCCATCCTCAGTGCCACATAAAAATACATAAATGAAGATATTGTGTCCATCTACAACTCAAAGAATTTTTTTTTAAGTGCAAATTTAAGCCAGGTGTGGTAGTGCATACCTATAATTCCAGCAAGTTAGGAGGCTCAGACAGGAGGATCCCAAGTTCAAGGTCAGCTTCAACAACTTATCGAGGCTCTATCCTCAAAATAAAAATAAAATAAAATAAAATAAAGGTTGGGGATAGCTCAGTGATAAAAACACCTGGGATAAATCCCCAGTATAACACTTGTAATCCCAGTGGCTCAGGAGGTGGAGGCAGGAGGATTGTGAGTTGAAAGCCAGCCTTAGCAATTTAGCACGGTAATAAGCAATTCAGTGAGACCCTGTCTCTAATAAAATAGAAAATAAGGCTAGGGATGTGGCTCAGTGACCCTGAGTAATTCCTGGTACCCCAAAAAACAAAAATTAAAAAACAAACACATAAATAGAAATGCAAATTGAAGCCATGCAGTTAAAGCTCGATGCACACCTCATGTGTCATCTTGAGCAGGCTGACTTTGCATGAAGAAGTCCTCCTCTCATTTTTGTGATGAGATCAATTGAATTCCTCTGATTAAATCACCAGGAAGTGGGTATGTGTACACAACATGTTCTTTAAACAGATGACTTAGCTATAGATGTTTACGATCCCAGAGTTTTATTTTACCCTCAAGTGAAAGCAATAAGAAAAGTGTGAAAGAAAATGCAGTTTCCATTTATCTGGGTCAAATGTTACAGATTTAAATTTGGATTCCCTGTATGACACAGCATTGCACATAAACCTGTTCTGCATCGTCCAATTCCTATTGACACGAGTTTCCCTAATGGAAAGTCATAAAACAGCTCTCTTACACAAGCATAAACTTCACATGTAACTCGTTGCCAACTCTTGGCCTTATAGACAGGGTTGTCCCATGGCTATTCTCCCCTTTCCAGGGGAATCTGAAGAAGTAAAATTATTTGTTTTCCATAAAGGAGATGGTGAGCTGCAAAGACATAACTTAAAAGTAGTTATCCGATTTCTATATGCAGTCCCTTTATTCTTGTTATTTTATTATCAGGCAATATTCTGAATATTTCATATTTTAGCATAAATATTTTAAGCCTGCAGAAGATCATTCTTTAAAGGGAAGCTGTTTCCGTCTTGTGATGGCAGTTGGTGTTTTTTGCCTATTTCCAGCTGTGCATTGGAATTATCCAAGAGTACTTAAAAAATAGATCCATTCCTGGAAATGAGTCCCATAGAATCTGAGGCAACAGGCAGGTGGTGGAGCTCAGCATTTGGCATAGTTAATAAAGTCCATCCGTGCTGTTGGATCCCACAGGGAACACTACCCTTTCTGCGAAGTTTCATGGCTCTCAAGATCTTCTTGGCCAGAATCTTCTCTGGCTCTCAAGGTTGCTGTTTAAGACAGTGCCAAGAACCTTCTTTAGTTAGTTAGGCGGTTGGTGGCGGTTTTCTTAAGACTGACCCATTTATTCTTTGGCCTCATAAAATCCTGGTCCTTATAAGTCAGTCTTACACTCACCCAATTAGTTTTGCAACATGTATATTTCTATTATTTTAGCTTGGCAACTACAAATGTTTCATAGTTTAATGAGCTGTTTCAAGCAGACAGGAGCATAGAGAATCGAAGGTAACCAGTGTTGAGGCTTCTGGGTAAATTAGCAGCTGATGAGCCCACAGATACCACCTCCAACTACGTTGTGCAAAAGGTACAGAATAACATCATTTTGTGTTTCTGGGCTGCTCTATTATTTTAATTAGAAAACTCTCATGGAGCATAGTAATTTATAACAAAGTAAAATACTATGTACAGGAGTAAAACCTGTTTATATCATATAGACTAGTTTTTAAAAATGCATCCCTTACCCAACTTCCTGACATTAAAAATGTTTAAACCTAAACAAATATTAAAAGAGAGCACCATTTGTAGAAGCCTATTTTTTTCTCCAATGTACGTTTTTGGCGCCTTCTCTAGATTTCAGATCAACACCCTGCCCCATATCTATCTGGTCTTAGGAACTTTTCTGCTTTTGTCTGATGAATCATAAGAAAGTATTTGGCAAACGTTAGGATTTTTATCTCTAAATATTTTGCTGTGTATCTTCTAAGAAAAAGAGAGTTTTCTCTGTGACCACAATACCATTATCGCACTTAAGAAATTAACATCAAGAGCTGAGTTTGTGGTTAAGTGGTAGAGCGCTTGCCTGGCACACATGAAGCACTGGGTTCCATTCTGAGCACCACATAAAAATAAATAAAGGTTTTGTGTCCATGAACAACTAAAAAATATGAAAAAATTAACATCAGTAAAATAATATCTTACATAAGTGTCATGTAAATTTTTCCCATCTAGCTCCAATAATTTTTATATTTCTTTCCTTTCAAAAGTTCATTCAGAATCCACCAGAGGATGCACAGAACTTCTTTTATGATATATTAGTTACACTTAATCTGAAACAATCCCCTTGCTGCTTCTGTTAATTTTTATATTACTTTTTTCTTTCTTTCTTTTTTTTTTTTTTTTGGTACCAGAGATTGAACCTAGGGCCGCTTAATGACTGAGCCACATCCCCACC